CTCAGGGCATGACTATTAATGTAGACATAGCGTGATGCGCTCTTTTCGCTTGTTGCTGGTGTTTTACCGCTGTCCGTCATCGAAAATAGCATTCAATTTCTATGTTGATAGATGCACGAAAGACCAAGAACGGAACTGAACAGCGGCGCCAAAAGGAAACAACACAAGTTGCGCGGCGGTCACACACACGCAAACACACACACACACCACACACACACACACACAACACACACACACACACACACACACACACACACCACACACACACACACCACACACACACACACACACGAAAGAAAACACGAAGGAAACGGCAGGGGATCGTGTGGATCCCCCTATCAATTCACGTTATGAAAAACGGCGAATCAGGGCGAGGGTTAATTTTCGATATGCCCACAAGAAACATCGTATGCGACGATCGAGACCGATCGAACGAAGGATATTTGAGATCGATCGGATAACCGATAAGGTATAATAAGGTGAGAATGATAGGAATTGCCTGAATGTAGTATAAACACCTAGCAGATAATAGCTTTGGCGGAAAGTCCTTGCAATATCCATATGCTCGGCACTGCATCACTGCATCACCCCCAGTAACATCACTGTATCACTGCATCACCCACAGTGGTATTACTGCATCGACGCATTACCCCAGTAATATCACTGTGTCACTGCATCACCCACAGCGGTATCACTGTATCACCGCATCACCCCCCGTAACATCACTGTATCACTGCATCACCCACGGTGGTATTACTGCATCGACGCATCACCCCCAGTAATATCACTGTATCACTGCATCACCCACAGTGGTATCACTGTATCACCGTATCAATCCCGGCGATATCAATGCATCACTGTTTACTCTCGCTCGTCATTACTGCGGACTACAACAGCATGACAAGTCTACCCCACGTTTAAAGACGATGAGGAGCTGCCACGGCCGAGCAACGCTCACTTTGTCACGCTGGTTGAACTAAAGGGAACCGAAACACAGATGACCCTGGATTCCGTTCTCAGAGCCTGACGTTCCCAGCCGATCCGTACCACACATGGAGTCCCGTGACTGCGTCAAGTCACCATAGGGGGGGGGGGGGGGGGAGGCAGCCACGGCGCATTGACGACAAATTGTTTGAGAAGGTGAGAGGAGGCGGCGCCACGAGTCTCACCACGTGTTGACGTGCAACGCTTTACGTTTTTTGCGTGGTAAATATTGGCGTTAAGTCGTGAGCCCGATCATGAGCGGCTATGGAATCTTAACTATTCGACGGCGGGCGACCTTGAGCGCAGACCGCGCGTTGGCCGACGGCTGTAACCGCATGAAGGTCCTGATTACAGAGGTGGTACATGAATGGTATGAATGTGTTACCACGCGCACATACAAACACAGTTAGTTACGTAGTGTCTGTCTTTGCTGCACACCATAGATGGGTTTATTGCGAAGGAGGCCTCATTATTCAGCGGAAAGTTTTATCCAGCTCGGGAGAAAACTCCTAAATGCTTACGTGACCAACCCAGAATATTTACTGGACCCGACCTTGCTGGCGTATTCCCAGCAACCAGGCCTCAGGCTGAGTCTATGTGCAGCAAAAATGAAATGCTGTATATAATAAATAACTGAACACATATGTGTAAACTAAAATCACGTGAATCTTGCTGTTGCCGTGGCAACTGTATGGCAGCAATCTGACATGCTTCTAACGGCAGGCTTGCTACCTTGCTGACGTGTTCCCAGCCACCAAGCCTCAGGTCGGGCCTATATCCCGCAAGAAATCGAATAAAATATGAAATGAATAACTTAAAAATATATATGGAAGCTAAAATCGTGTGAACTTCACTGCTGCCATGGGAATTGCATGGTAGCAATCTAGCATGCTTCTAACGGCAGGCTTGCTACCTGGATTACTTCACCGCCAGTGTGGAACGTCACCTGGCAGCCTGGGATGTAGGCGACGCTCCACACCAACTCCCTCAGCCCACCATCGACCACAGATAAGGACTATGACAAGACACAAGCCTCCGTAATTAGAATGCTCCGTGAGGAGCCGTGTGAAACATGTCAACAAAAACACACGCACCTAACCGCTGCCTTGGGAATTCCGCGCTGGGAATCCAGCACGCTTTTAACGGCAGGCTTGTTATCGCGATGGCTTCTATGACCGCGGGAGCAGCGCGTCGCAGCCAAAGGTGCAGGGCGTCGTTGTCTTGCACGGCTCCCTACAGTGCTTTCTAATCATGCAAGCTTGTACCCAAAGTTTGTGTCTATGGTCGGTGATGCGCTGGAAGAGCTGGCGTTGAGTGGAACGGGGCAGCCATTTTCGGGCCTGTGCTGCTTTCGGAAGCATTTATTTTACTTGTCTTATCATATCCCCACTCCCCACCCCGACCTATTACGCATGCACGCACGCACGCACGCACGCACACCCACACCCACACACCCACACCCACACCCACACACCCACACACCCACACCACTCCTGAATAAAGAGCGTGCCCTCTAACCCACAGCAGGGTACCCCTAGTTCGTAATCGTGGCTTTCGTATCATAACATTATGCCTATTTATCTAGGACATGGGCTACGTTATTCAAAGCGATAAAATGCTGTGCAGATGCAACAGAAACAGCACTCTGAGCCCGAATTATTACTCTTAAGTTCAGGGGCCTCCTCGATGTGAATAATGGCAATCTACGGGGCAGTTACACTGCCATTTTGTTTTGGAAAAAAGGGCCTTTTAAAAATGTTTGGGGACAATAACATACTCATGCCTTCCATGCCTGCAGGCAGGGGACGACTGCTCCCTCTGTTCCCCCCCCCCCCCCCCCCCCCCCTTGTCCTAACTGCGCCGCCCCTCGTCACCAGTGCCTGTGGCTGCCGATGCTGGTGGCTACTATTGCTAGAAGCCGCCTCTGACTGACGGCTGGTGCTGGTTTGCTGTGGTTATATCGCTTCGAATAATCCGTCAATGCTCGTCACACCTTCGAATAATCCGTCGACGCTCGTCACACCTTCGAATAATCCGTCAACGCTCGTCACACCTTCGAATAATCCGTCGACGCTCGTCACACCTTCGAATAATCCGTCAACGCTCGTCACACCTTCGAATAATCCGTCGACGCTCGTCACACCTTCGAATAATCCGTCAACGCACGTCACACCTTCGCGTCCCCCCCTCCCCCCCCCCATCCGAGTGGCATGCCTCCGGTCTGTCAGCCGACCCGTACAACGAAACACTGCCTCACCCGCGGACAGTGTGCGAAAAAAGCGGGTGAAAGCAATTCGAATCCGGAGGGAGGGATATTTTGGATATGTGCTGGCTGAGTCATTTTTCAGGGCTCCCAACTCATTTGCGAAACCACGCCCTGGTCCCAACCCTTGCGGCTCGCTGCCAAGAGGGATTCGCCCCCCCCCCCCCCCCGCCCACACACAAACTCACACCATGGTTTCGCAATATTGCTCAAGACACCATTTAAACAAATATGCTGTCAACTTTCGCCCTGATTCGCCCTGTTTCAAAATATGGACCGACCATATTTTGACCACAAGTGTTTTGGCCACACAACCATTTTCGAACTATAAAAGGTAGGAGGTAGCAGATGACACCAATGGTCTGGTCTCAACGATATCACGCGGTTGGTGATATGTGTGATGTTACAAGTCAACAATAAGCTCGCCATATTTCAAGTCAAAAGTCTAGTTTCCCTGAAAACCAATTTCTTCAGCACTACAACGTCATATGGACGACAGCATGCTCCGCAACAAAACGAAATCTAAGCACACAAAACCTAAACAGTCATGTTTTTGGCGCAGGTGCGAACAATGGAACGTAGTTGTATGTGCTGGAGCACACATATTTATGGTGTAGGACTTCGTTAAATCAGAAGCGTAGAACATCCACATTCTGCAACCCGCCTCAAGTGGTTCGCGTAGTGGTCGGTCGCCCCCCCGCCGCCCCCTTCCCCCCGCCGCCCCCCCCCCCCCCCCCCCGCCGACCGCGCCGGCCGTAGATCGCCGTCCACAAAAACCGTCGCATCTCGAAAACTAGAAAGTTAGTGGCACGTTACTGGTCTCAAAACACGTGCAGTGGATGCCCCAGAAGCTAGGGCGCGATTGAGGGCCTTGGCTGAGAGGCTTCCCCAGAAACCTTAAAGGGCGGTGGGATCAGCGAGTGGCATCAACCCTCCCCCCCCCCCCTATCAGACGAGGGTTGATTACACAAAATTAGCATATATGGAGGAGGAACGCATAATTTTCACATGCAATCGGGGCATGTCTAGGCAATTATCCAACCTAATATATCATCAGTATCAACCAGCAATTCATATGCAACCAGAACGTGGGCGAAAAGAGACGGGCTGTCCGCCCGAGAGATGAACAGTTTTATCGGTCGTAGCTTTGGATCAGCCGTCTGCCCGAGGACGGGGCAGTGCCCTGTGCCGACACACTGGTCTGGTTGCCGTTTCCGTCTGGTTCGCCAGTGCTCACCTAGCCAGTGAGCGTACCGCTGGACGTACTTAAGTATTCCAATATATTATTATCAAGCTTATTTCACGAGCTCTTTTCCCTCATTACTTCCTGCAAGCTCTACCCTGCCAGCCTGCGCCCCGCTGATTATTTCCTGCAATCTCTGCCCAGGTTTCCCATTACCCTCGTTCTTCATGGCGTAGCGTTTTCATTTATAAGTATGTATGATGTCATCGCTATTTCGCTCAGCCGTGCGCCCGCAAGCGAGCGCTCACTGGCCCGCAGTAGCGCTGCCTGGACTCCTCAAGTAAAGCCACCGACGCGATGTGCTCTAATTCCGTTTATGAGCCACGCGCGGGCCAGTCCGTGGTCAGCCACCATCCAGAGACACGACCACAGAAACGGCACCAGAACAGCACCGGAACGGCACCGCCTGCTGGCGCTGGACCACTCTGACCACAGCGGCGGTCCGCTGTGTGGCGCGCGAGGACGTGCGCTCGACGACGCGTGTGGACGTGCGCCCGCGCCGGCGCCGCGTCAGCCGTGGGCTGGACGTTGAGCTGGCGTGTTGCTGCGCACGCGCTGAGCGGTGCGGGTGCTGAAGGCTGCCGCCTGGTTGCTGAGCCGCTTGGCGGTGAGAGCCAGCCGGAGCTGTTGCTGACCCGCCTGCTGCATCTGACGCTGGACAACGTCGCCTGCGGGTGATGGGGTGCAGTGGCGCACGTCAGTGCCAGGGTGTGGGTGCGAGAGCTTACATACGCGAGGGTGTGTACGAACAAATCAGAAGCGCGGGGCGTCCACGTGTGCTGGCATTGCATTCAGTCTGCTTTTACGTGCACGGGTTCGTGTGTGTGCGAACATACAGTTAAACCGTCATACATGTAGAGGATTATACGACTTTAACACAGTCCAGCAGCCAGGCACAGAGAAAATACAATGGAGTTGAATGTCGAATGGCATAAGCATGCAGGTCGCTCGGTAGCATTTGTGTTTCGCCACCAGTGGCGCTGCCGTCTTTTAAAAATGTCAGTCCTTTCCGCCCGATTTAACCATAGGGACCATGCCATGTTGAGAAGTAGCATCGTGATATTCAAAATACTCACCAGCTGTTTTATAGCGATTGTCGCGCTTTTTTGTCGAAAGACAACGAGTCTGAATGAGACTAAATCAATCTTGCAAACATGATACCTACATAAATGGAGCGTGTTTACCCTTGCTTAGCACGCGTGAAACTTCGTTTGCTACCTCCAGTCACTTTCAGGTGCTTCTTGTGACCAACGTGTCACAGTGGTGCCACCATCTCCTCTCAACACATGACGTCATTGGGAAACAAAGCCAGTGGTCAGAGGAAAGGCACGGGTCACCGCAGTGCGGGGGAGCTTAGTGGCGTCTGTTGATTCCTCCTCAGGTATTTTGACGTAAAAATAACACGAAAATGTCCCGATTATGTTTATAATGAGAAAACCCGCGGCAATGCCTGTGTTGAGTGGGCCGAGATTTTTAGTTCTAAACGGTGTCCAGATCGTTCAACATTAGTGAAGGGTTTTGGCGTACATTGGATGCAAATTTAAAACAAAAATTTGACGTAGAAAGGTCGTAGTTATCCTCAGCGTGAACTGTTGAATGGTTGGAGTGTGATGGCTATTTAAGATTGCATTATGATATCGAGGCGCCAGTATTTGCAGACGGTGCTGGGCTGACGTCACACCTCAGCCGTCGCCGCACCGGTGCGTACTACCGGAACAAAGATGGCGGCCGTTGCAGACTATCCCGCGCAGGCGTCAAATATGTAAAAAAGTGGTAAACGAGGTACGAGCACATAAAGGCGGTGGTTCAAAACGCCTTTGTAACAAAACACAATCGACTTTGATAAAATTAAGAATAGACAGCCGTGGCTTAAATAGAGTTTGTGAGTAGCTTGTGTGTTCTTCAGTCTCCGCCTTCAGCGCGTCCTCCACCGCATGACTCTTACTGGTCCAATTAAGACTGCAAACTGGAGCCATTAAAGTCGGTCATAAGTGGGTTGGAGAGGTCGGCTGAACCGGCTTTCTTAGCTCGGAGCGTTCAACGGAGACGGCAGATATGGTCGACAGCTCGTTCCCACCCCGCCCCCCCCCCCCCCCCTACACCCCTTCCCGCCTAGCAACGAGACCGAGGCGCTCCTTCGGCGGCGGTGGCGGCGGCGCGGCAGCCGGGCACAGGGAAGCGACAGCCCATTCGCTACGCGCTGGCCGACGGGGCGTCGGTAATGACGTCGCCCCCCCCCCCCCCCCCCCCCCCCAGCCGTGGTGGAGCGCGGTGAGGAACAGCCGTACCCGCCCTGGAACCGACGGCGGTCGCGCGGAGGGCGGGAGGCGGGTCCTCGCCTCCTCCATGGTCACCAACCCAGAAATCTCCTTCCGCAACGTTGACGACTTATATACGAATTACATTCTTCCTTTCTTTAATTCTTATGACGTCGTATATGACGCACTTTTGACAACCAGTGACTCCCTTAGACTTGACAGATAGTGCAGAGCAGCAAGACCAATCACTGGTGCACTCTACAGAACACACACTCGCGCACTGTTGGACGATCAGCGATGGAACACTCTCGAATCACAAAGAAATATACACAGACTAACGCTGTTCCACACCCGCATCCACAAACAAAACATTAACTGCCAGCACACGTCACTGCACTTCTACTTGACACGCGGACACTTGCAACAGGACGCCCACTACGCAATGCAGTGACACTCACATTACCACCGAACAGGACCTCAACATACCAAAAATCATACACTCCATCAACTACGAGAAGATGGAACCAGCTCCCGCTTGAGGCGTCATCTCTCCAGTCTTCTCGTTCCTTAAAACGGGAAATGTACCAGCTCTGCGGCGCGACCGGTGTATCACAGCTTTGGATCCAGACAGGGTAACATCATAAATACTAGGCTGAGATTGAGAATGTCAGCCTTAATGTTCACGGGTTTGAAATTCAAAATCCAACTACGCCTAGTCCTTCTTGGTTGTGTGGCTATCCACATGAGGATCCCAAACACCTTGTATTGAACTGTCCCCGCTATCATGAAATCAGAATTTCGGTGCTACGTAAAACAGATACCATCATTCCAAACTTTTCTGAGATCACTCGCGACGAGCAACTCAATATCTATCTCAGAGGCAACGGTTTGCGAGATTGCACTGGGCAGCGGAAAGCCAAAATTTTGAAAGAATTTCTTTTTCAGACCAAAAGATTCGCATGAATACTTCCCGCGGGCGCGGACAGCAGACGGTCCACTGTGAGGCGTTGCCGGGCCGGGCGTCCGCCGCCGGCCCGAGACGGCTATATGTGTAGACCAGAGCGGCGGCGTGTGCCAGACCCTTGTCGGCCTACAGATCGGACGAGTGGGCGGTGGGTCGTGGGTTACCCGGCGGCGATGACCATATCTTGATATTGTTAGGAGAGGTGCTCAGATTTAAGCGATGCGCTCACGCGCCAATCCCCTCATCGTGCTACGTACCGATATATGTCCGTAATCGGGAATAGACATCAAACATCAAACGAGGGGTCGCTGCCGCTGCCAGATGGCAGCCACGTTTGGCCCGCTGGCCCGCTGGCCCGCTGACACGCTGACACGCTTCCGCCAAAGATCGGCCTGTCGCTGCAAGGTCGGCTTAATGTCCTAAAGTTAGCCGGGCCGGTTCTGCCTCGGGCGCGTCCGCCGCAGCAGGGAGCGGCTACGGAACTAGCGGCACCTGTGCAGCCGGCGCATGCCCAACCGACATCGGAGGGCCTTCTCCCGTGGGAGAAGGCTCCCCGGGGAAGGGGGCCCTCCGAGGAGACGGCAGATGCAGGAGCATCCGCCGTCGACGGAGCCGGCGATGCTAGCCCCTGGAGCCGTGCCGCCGAGGACGCGACGGTCTCGAAGACGTCCCAGAACAGCAGGAGCTAGTCCCGTGAGAACGAGCAGTCGCCCCCCCCCCCCCCTCCCCGTTGTCCCTCACGCCAACGGCGGAGGACACCCGGCTGGAGCTTTTTACGATGAGCTGACGACTGGAGCTTTGGAGTCTAGCAGCCCAGCACAGCCACCCAGCTAGCAGCGACTAGGAACCCAGCAGCTAGCAGCCAGCGACTAACAGCGGTGACTAGTTAGCTGTTCGTCGACTGATGACACACAATAGCCACGTATATCTGTGGAATGCAAGCTGATACCAAATACGACAAGCGGCCAGCGGGAAACATCTGACCTGACGAAGGCACGTGTCCCAGAAAACACACGGCTGATGGCTCACAATATCCAGTATCACGCAGCGGTGTGCTGCGGCACATCCCGGCCGCACGAATGTCGCCTGGATTAAGGGGAAGCTCAACTTTGCAAGCGGCACCGCTGATGTGAATGACTCTGCTTGAGAAACAAATAAGGTCAGACACTGCAGAGGTTATTCAAATATCAGATTCCAAACATGTGGTTCTTGATCAGCACATGGACGCGTTCACGTATGGAACTTGATCAGCCCGCCCGCAGATAGCACGCCGAACATCTCCAGCAAATCGGGGACGTGATCGAATCTCTGTCGCCCAAAATTTACATTCGCCCCTTAGTTCATGACTTTTTGGATCCTGAAGAGATTTCTTTTGGTGTACTGAAGTGCGCTAACTGAACTGGCATGGACTGAAAATCAGCATCGGATTCGGGACCGGCCTAAGGAGTTCGCCAGGCTAGAGACACACTGAGGACAAATATTTCTTGAGATGTGATAGTCCAGAGGGGACACCGAAATATATGTCAGTGACGAGACATTCGTGAGAACTCCAACTTGGAGACGAATCAAAGACTAGTCCAGGCTTTATCACTTCCGAACGCGAGGAAAACTCGCGCCTGCGAAAGTTCAAGGTAAAGACGGGATGCTGCGCAGATTTTGTGGGATTCCGAATCCAATCAGTTGCGTCTTCTCTACATTTACTTGAGTCGGTTGGCACGTAACCGGAAGTCGAGATAGGCTAGAACGTATTCACTCTGCCTAACAACCTACGCATTTTTTGCCGCTCATTGCAATTCGTGTACCGTCTGCATATTATACAACTGCACCCTCGCGAAGAGAATGAGATCGTTCGCAAGGATGCAGCAGAGTCAGGGGCCTGAGGCCGATGACTTAGATGCCTAGATAACTCCCACACCGTTAGGCAGCTTAGTAAATAATTTGCTGTTCCCGACCGGTTAGCTATTCTCGGATTCGAGTGTAGTGCAACCACACATGACTGTGACGTTTGAGTTAGACTGAACGCCGGGAGGTATCGATGCTGTGTAAGATGGGTCAAGTCAGCGATTTCGAGTGGTCTGCCACGTAGCAACATCTGCTAAAATCAAGAAGGCAGAGTAAAAACACGTCTCCGCAGTCGTTGGCAGTTAAGATGTGATCAAGTCAGCGCAATTTCCGTGGAATGGCGTGGTATGAAACCGTACAGGTTTTGACAAAGGAGGGGGGGGGGGGGGAGGATAGTTGGAGAGGCAGCTACAGAGCTGTTTTCTTTTACTGCACTCTCGACGATTTTTGCCATGCCAGGGACGATAGAGATGGGGCGGAATTAAAAGGGCTCTGTCGGATCATCATATTTAAGGATAGAGACTGCTCGGCAGGTCAGAAAGGATCGATAGGAAGACGTCTCGCCGCCCCGTATGCCTGGTAGCACGCTAACGTGACAACCTACGGTGTTCTCACCAACTATTCTTCGCCAGACCCTCTAACGGTCATTCGTGCATACTAGTAGACCGCGCCCTCGCGATATTCCCATCACGCCACAGGAAATCCCGGGCCAGCGAACTGCTGTGCACGAAGCAACCCATTAAGGTGATTGAGGCGCCGCTGTGAACTAGCGGGCGCATTCAGGAGCCGGTACCGCCTGCGCCACTTGTGTCTTGCACATGCTGGCAGTAAAGCTGCGTATATCATATAATATGTATATATATATATACATATATATATATATATATATATATATATATATATATATATATATATATATACTTCTAGACACGGAATGGGAAAAACAAAGAAGTTATTGTGAAGGTCTCCTCGACGCGTGAGGAATGCCTACCAAATTTTTTGACGCTAGGCCAAACTTTAGGTCACCAGAGATCACGAAAGTTTGAAACTGGTCGTTCCGATAGATGCAGTTAAAATCTGTGAACACGAGGTGCGGTGCTTTTCTTTGCAATGAAGGGCTGACTAAGCCTTTTTGTTAGGTGCAACTGTGGGAAGAAGCATTCCAGACACAAAAATACCATTTTAGGCTGACCCAGAGGCCGTCTGAGGTCAACTTAGGTCAAATTTATTATCTATCAAAACGAAAAATAAAGTGCTCACCGGGTCTATCTGACCAGTACAATGCATTTTTGTGGTCAGAAATAGTGTGTTGTACATCTACAGGTAGTAAAGGTCGCATAGCTACTGTCTACATTTGGCATAGTCCCTTCTGTGCCTAGCAATGTATTTGTAACAAACTGAAAACAGGTACGTTGGTATATGAAATTACTTCATCAGCTTTACAAGCACGATAAGGAGGTGGCTACATGCGTCGCACTCATTCATTTAACCTCTCCGCTACTGGAAACATCGGTTATTGACCTTGAATGACCTCATATGGCCTTGCACGCCCTCATCTGACCTATTGGCACGTCATTTTGCACCAGGATGGTACCACAGAATGTATTCAGTAGAACATTCGAAATCTGCGAGCAAAATTACTTCTTAGCACTGCCTATTTGAGATTAGCATGTATTTTGCAGAGGGTACTCACGGAGATAAGTCATGACCTGGGCAACGGTTATTGCTTTGTGATCGTATGATGGCTATGCGCATAAATTAACACTCTTTTCCTGACATATAAACACCAGATTTGCACCAAAATGCTTACGTATTGGGCTGTTTACAAAAATAGCAAAAACTAACCTGGCTTCAGGTACCTGAATTCAAATTTCCGAAAAATCTTAAAGGTATAAACTGTAGGCACAATCAAGTGCTATTACTATGACAAGTTTGAACAATGTTAAATGACTGCTAAAAAAATACGTATGGTCAAGGTTTTCTGGAGGTTGACCTATCTAGCCTGACCTAGGTCACTGATCCTGGTAGATCAAAGCTTCAAGCTTTCACAAAGATACAAAACTGATATCTAAACATACTGGAAAGTTTGTCTTGCTGCGAACCACCATTTTGACTTGTCCTCGATAAACCGTAGGGGGCATACATTACAGCACACCTTAGTAACATACTAGCAGACGATGCAGAGGCATCTAAGGTACATATAATAGCATACCATTAGCTGGGTAAGGTAAAGTTTCTGAACGTTGATTGCGCTTATGTTTATTACATGGCTGGTCGTTCCATTTATAATACGATTCCTAGTTTTCTTATACGTGTCTAGTGTATGATGTGACATCTGGCTGATGGACGTAAATATAGGGAGAGAGAGAAAGAATCAGAGAGAGAGGGAGAGTGAGAGAAAGAGAAAGAGAGAGAGGGCGAGAAAGGAGAGAGAGAGAGAGAGAGAGAGAGAGAGAGAGAGAGAGAGAGAGAGAGAGAGAGAGAGAGAGAGAGAGAGAGAGAGAGAGAGAGAGAGGGAGAGAGAGAGAGAGAGAGAGAGAGAGAGAGAGAGAGAGAGGGAGAGATAGAGAGAGAGAGAGAGAGCTGTGTGTGTGTGTGTGTGTGTGTGTGTGTGTGTGTGTGTGTGTGTGTGTGTGTGTGTGTGTGTGTGTGTGTGTGTGTGTGTGTGTGTGTGTGTGTGTGTGTGTGTGTGTGTGTGTGTGTGTGTGTGTGTGTGTGTGTGTGTGTGTGTGTGTGTGTGTGTGTGTGTGTGTGTGTGTGTGTGTGTGTGTGTGTGTGTGTGTGTGTGTGTTGATATGTATGTTGTGTGTGTGTGTGCGCGCTTAAATACAGATGGCTTGTGCGAACAAAAATCAGTCTACCTTGAAACGCCTACAAATATTGGCTTAAAGCTTTGCCTTTCACCAGCCAATACTTGCTGCTGTATTGGCTCTGGTCCAGTTCGCTGCATCTCAATTGTGGTGAACCGCACACCGATATTGAGCACATCATGGTAGAATGACCGGGGACAGAGACGTTAGATGGAGGACGGACACTTACCGATGTCTGCTCGTGGTCCATTTGGTCCGACCTCTATGACCCCGACGTGCCTTTGACGAGCGGCAAACCCACCCCTGGCTCCAATGGCAGCTACCTGCGCCTAGAAATCATACCGGACGTGAGATCAGTACGAAACCTCAGGTCGGCAGGGGTCAACACGGAACCCGCTGATGGAGAAGTGGTGCGAGCATATGACTATAACAGTGAAAGGCAACCAGTTCATACCATAGAAACCCTTGAACAGCGAGACCGTCCATGATCTTCGCCAGGTTCGCGATGGCCACACGTGGTCACGATGCATGTCCTCGTAATGGTGCTCTCAGGTGTGAGTCCTTGAAGGTAAACGTGGGTGTTCGCCAACAGTTCGTGAATAGTTTCCGGACCGCTGTTTGATCGTGATTGTTTGTGTTCCTTTGCTTCCTTGCCACCGGTTGGACAGCTGTTCCGTGTATATATATATATATATATATATATAAATATATATATATATATATGTATATATATATACATAGTTTCCCTTTTTGGGTATTCATAATTTTACCATTCTAATTTTATCAGCATCGGTTTGACTTAACACCTTATTCTTGACATCATTCTTCTACGCAGTAAGTGGAGTGGATCCCATTTAATATCTTTGCCTATGAGTTATAAACTTTCAGAAACTTACACTTTTCCATATCCCTCAGTGCAATTTCCACGTGTGAAGACTTCTGAAAAAGGTTTCAAAAGATACTTTGCAACTTCAAGAGCTCCAGAACTCTGGAACATCAGAAGGAGAGAAGCCTTCACAAGCCAGCAGCTTGACCGAACAGTGGTCGCCCCTGCGGAGGGCCAGGGTGGAGGGGCCAGGGCCAGGGTGGAGGGGCCAGGGCCGGGGTGGAGGGGGCCAGGGCCGGGGTGGAGGGGCCAGGGCCGGGGTGGGGTGGCCAGGGCTGGGGTGGAGGGGCCAGGGCCAGGGTATGGGGGGCCAGGGCCGGGGTAGAGGGGCCAGGGCTGGGGTGGACTGGCCAGGGCTGGGGTAGAGGGGCCAGGACCAGGGTAGAGGGGCCAGGGCTGCGCTGGAGGGGGGGGGGGGGGGGCCGGGGCCTGGGTAGCGGGGCCAGGGCCAGGGTAGAGGGGCCAGGGCCAGAGTAGACGGGCCAGGGCTGGGGTGGAGGGGCCGGGGAAGACGGGCCAGGGCCAGGGTAGACAGGCCAGGGCTGAGGTAGAGGGGCCAGGGCCGGGGTACGGAGGGGCGTCCGCTGCTAGTCAGCTGACGTCGCTGTCGAAAGATGACAGCTCCCAGTTGGCCGCCGTCACTGACATAGGACGACTGTGTGTGTGATCGTTTGCTGCCGTCTCTTAGAACTGGCCATGTACAGAGACGTTTTCTACGCGTTCTCCGGTCATGCGGTTTTCAGGTTTTCTTGCCGTCGCTTACTTGGCGCCCAGCTCTCCAGCTTGGCTGACCGCTGGAGCTTCTTCGGGATTAGTTAGTGCATGTGCGATACGCGGAGCAAGACCAGCGCCTTACATCGGCGGATTGAAATGACAAGCTCAGACGGTAAGAATGTGGCAGCAGTCATGCAATACCAAGACTTCAACGGGTGCCAAACGGAAAACATGCATCATCAGTATACTGCATGGTTTTCTGTTCTCCGGTTGCTCGCGAGCAGCTCCATTTTGTTTTAGTTCGTTCGCGTTTTCGGCCACCGGTCGGCCAGCTGTTCGTTAAATCACCTTATTTGTGAACATGCTGTTTGTGTTGTTTGACAAGCGAACTTCACAATATCCAACTTGCGCCGAGCAGCATTTGTGAAAAAGAGAACAGGAATCGAAAACCATCGCAGCGAACTGACGCCAGCGCTCAGCTGGGACGCGATAACCGGGGCTTGTGCCCGCCAATGGCACACCGACAGCTGTGGGCTTTCCAATGTTGCTGTACTAAAACTTACATTGAACCTGACCCTGTGGTTGACCACAAATCATCATACTATCACATTGTGTCGGGCAGGACTTCAGGACCTTCGTCGGCAGGCACTGCGTTAATCCGTCGACAGGGCGGTCACTCCTGGGCAAGACTCGGTTCGAGGAAAAGCTTACCGAAGTCATGCTTACGCCAAAGGCCTTCCACCTACATCGACAAGCGCTTTGCCAACGGCACCACCGAGGTGGTGTTGCTCGGTGATCTCTGTCATGCCACTGCTGAGGTAAGTGGCACCACTGGTGACGCTCGCACTGAGATAACCGGTGATTTGAGCACCAGCCTCTTGAGTCACAAGCCGGACAGATATTTCACCAGCCACGACCAGCCGGACAGCCATCTCGCCAGCCACGACAAGCTGGACAGCCATATCACCAGTCACAACGAGCTGGACAGCCATATTACCAGTCACAACGAGCCGGACAGCCATATCACCAGCCAAAGCGAGCTGGACAGCTATATCACCAGTTACACTGCAGCGGCTGGTGACCTCACCTGTATCACTGCATTGGACAGTGACCTTAGTGACTACACTGCTGTGGATGATGGCTGGTGATGATGGATGATGGCAAAGGTTGGTTATGATGGGTTGCGACAATGAGTGATGATGACGGGCACCGCAGATGGTTGGTGCTGACGGGTGGTGGATGATGCTGATGATGATGATTATGATGATAGGAGATAATAATGGAAGATGGCGTTGAGTGAGAATGATGGATGATGATGGTGATTTATGATATGAGTGGCGACGACGACGGTGAACGAAGGTAGGTAATAATGATGGGTGGTGGTAAGTGATGATGATGCGTGATAATAACGGGTGACAACCTCGCCCGTCACGCTAAGGCGGTCAGCGACATTCCCAGTGACCGTGTGACGGGCAGCGAGCTCACCTGCGACGCCGTCACAGTGCCGGGGACGCCGGCCTGGACCGACGGACGGGTGCTGATCGTCGACGCCTGCGAGGAGGCCAGCGTCGCCTGCCGAGCGGCGACACACGTGTCTGTGTGTGTGACGTAGTTGAAACACACGCGCACGCCGCTCGACGCCTTAGACTCGTCAGGATAGCTGCAGGACTCTTCGGAGTCAGCGGTATTGCTTGTCAGAATCTACTCATCACTAATTTGTCATTTGAGAGGGTTATGTACGGTGAGAAAATGCCAGGGACGACTTCATAAACTGTAAGAACGACTGCCGAATGGTACTTACTACACCATTCGCCACTTAACTAAAACCCAGCATGGTTTATAGCGGCCATCAGCGCCGATTCTGGGCTTTAATTAATGGTGCAATCGTCTTCGAGCTGCGGCTGATGCATGCTTCAATGCGAGCCCACTCGTGCGTGCATACTCGCTAGGAGGATTGGGCCGTCCAAGCATCGCTTCGCGAGGCGATTCACGTCGTGACACGCGTCGTAACGCTCCCCGAGGAGTCATAATTTAACATGCTACATGCCGAGGTCGACGCTGTGTCTCCAGCCACGAATGTATGCAGGCTAGTGATGCCAGCAGGCTGGATGCAGTTGTGGTGCTGCGTTGCATGTGACTCGCGTGCCTCGCGCCGCTATTTTCGCGGTATGGTGTAGCGTTGTCTGCAGGATAACCGGTTTTTCCCTGTCGACCGAGTGCAGTTCGACGTGCCCATATTTCTTAGCGTTTGCAGCGTGCATATAACGAAGGCCCTCGGTCGCTCTCTCTCCCACGCATCGCTCCAGATCATGGACCGCTACCTGACTCGCCACAGCAGTATGATGAGGGATATAATGTGAGAGCGGCTGGCCGCGGCAGAACTGCAAGTACACAACCAAGTGTGGAGTATGCATCGTGCATGGAGCAAACGGTCATATGATTATGATATGTGACACATGCAGCTGCTACGAGTGCCACAATTATATTGATTACGAGATTGCCACACCATTACGTTGATAACGAGACGACAACGAACGGCATATACCAATCAATATAGGCGATTTTCGTGATTAATGATACCTTTGATATTTTATCCTCGATTTTGTCCTGACTTTGACCCCATACACAAAAAATAGCTTCAGGAATGAGCTATTCGGTATCGAAAGCCCTAAAAACGGTGTCACACAACCCTCCAATTCGTCGAGAAAAATTTCGAAATTGCACTGTCATTTAAGATGGCGGCTGTCACCATTTTCAGTTCTGAAAAATGCTCAGATTTGCGCAAGTAGCACCTAAGCTACACTGGTTCTCTTAGCTACATATAACATATTGCCGTGAACAAGTTCGCGGTAATAAATATTGTAAGGACCAATATGGGAAGTAGAAAGACCGCAGCACGACAAGGCGGCTATGGTAAATTGCTTGAGGGCTTTTACATTTTTAGGCTTTCCAAAATGCATGTCTGAACCTGTTTCTCAATCATTGTCTGACCAAAACTGAAGGAGGGCTAGCGACTGTCTGTAAAGATCTCGTTCAGTAAAAGCAAGCTGATTTAAATATCACTTTTTGTACATTTACCAAATCATATTAACCATATCCATGCTTTTTATTGTGTCCGAACTTCTGTGCAGGAAGGGTATTCAGACCAAAACACTCAGACCTTTGAATGCATAGTTTTTATCATGAAACTCGGTAGCATGGACTTCCTGCACCGGCTGGGACAGTCATGTATTTTAGTTGGCTGGAACCAAATTTTCAGATACACCTCATGTCTTAACCTTCTGATTACATCAGTAATGTTTGTATAACATTTATTTAATATTTTTTATTATATTATATTATAGCGTTGCAGTACGTTAAGCTTTTGCCGTCAAGTTCTGCCGTTGACCTGCGGTTTGACGAGTGTATGGTGGTGTGAGAGTTTACGCAGTAAACGCCAGTTGACCTGACGGATCGCTAGATAAGTTTGCCTAATTAAAAGATTGGGACCAATTATTGTTATGAAATGAAACGCTACAAACGATTCCTTTATTTTTGTGTTTCGTCTCGCAGACCCCAAGCCAAATGGCGATGTATCCCCACCAGCCATTCGCTTGATATGCGAACAGGACCGACCACACAGTATTCTTCTGCCCGCTTTGATTCCGGGTAAGCTTCACTACCACACCGTCAAACAAAAAAGCCTACCATCAATCACTTCAATCCTCTGACGTGTTCGCTGCCGAGTGCATGCACCTGCTCTGCACAACAGTTTTGTGCTGCGTTGCAGTCCAGGGTTCTAGGATTGACCTCTGACAAACTAGGCGCACTGGAGCACGAGGAGCCTTTATTCTTGCTGTGATTGGACATAGACTGTTCTAGCAGATTGCTGTGACGCAGACACTAAAAACACCGGGGTGTGCAGTGAAAATAACGCCATACGTCTCAGTGTTATCTCACATCCTTCCTCATTGTCAATAAGTTTACACAGGTTCACAGACAACCGACATGCTTATAATAGAAATAAGAAATGACAAGGTTGAATTTTGGACAACAGACGCAGATCCATGACTTCAGAAATGGGGGGAGGGGAGGGGAGGGGAAGGAGAATAGTCGGGCTAGGAGTATACCCACGATAGCCTCACCCCAAAGCTGCTCTTGATCCCAGTTTTGTGCTGCGTTTTCTATGATTCGGAAAGCCGCCAAAAGTTTGCCATAAAATCGCCTTTTTCGCGGTCGAAATTTCAATTGTGACCTGATAGGCCGGTGAGCGGCATTCGGCTCTACCTCGGCGCAACGGGGACGTTCCCCCGATTTTTTGTTCTACCCCGGGGCAACGGGGACGTTCAGCAGTATTTGGCTCCACCCCGGAACAACGGGGACGTTCCACAGTATTTGGCTCTACCCCGGAGCAACGGGGACGCTCCACAGTATTTGGCTCCACTCCGGAACAACGGGGACGTTCCACAGTATTTGGCTCTACTCCGGGGCAACGGGGACGTTCCACAGTATTTGGCTCTACTCCGGGGCAACGGGGACGTTCCACAGTATTTGGCTCCACCCCGGGACAACGGGGACGTTCCACAGTATTTGGCTCCACCCCGGAACAACGGGGACGTTCCACAGTATTTGGCTCTACTCCGGGGGCAACGGGGACGTTCCACAGTATTTGGCTCTACCTCGGGGCAACGGGGACGTTCCACAGCATTTGGCTCCACCCCGGGACAACGGGGACGTTCCACAGTATTTGGCTCCACCCCGGAACAACGGGGACGTTCCACAGTATTTGGATCTACCTCGGGGCAACGGGGACGTTCCACAGCATTTGGCTCCACCCCGGGACAACGGGGACGTCCCACAGTATTTGGCTCTACCCCGGGGCAACGGGGACGTTCCACAGTATTTGGCTCTACCTCGGGGCAACGGGGACGTTCCACAGTATTTGGCTCCACCCCGGGACAACGGGGACGTTCCACAGTATTTGGCTCCACCCCGGGACAACGGGGACGTTCCGTAGTATTTGGCTCTACCCCGGGACAACGGGGACGTTCCACAGCATTTCAGTATCATTACAGTATTCTGCGGTTATGTGGCCAATGCATTCTACACCTTATTACCGGTGCTGAGCTCACAGCCAGGCATCCCGCAGAGTGTTTCTGTGCACGGCTGCACACATGCCTGCAAAGCATCTGGTCAATGGCGCCCATCGCGAGACTAATCTCCTCTAAGTAGCACGTGCACTGCTGGGTCAAGACGACGTCGGCTTTTAACGATACGATCGGCATCAGCCTCTGTTTGCTGCGGCCATTCTGCGCTCCATGCGAACTCTCACCACGTTCCACACCTTTTCAATAGGGTTTCACTGCGGGCTGAAGGATCAAATCGAAGAAGCTCTGCTCCAGCAAGCTCGCGTTCGGTTGAGAGTGATCCCAGACCGCAGTGGGCAGGAGCATTGTCGCAAGCGATGACCACCTCGGTTGCATGTCCTCCAATGTATCAGAGCGTGGCTCTGACCCGCTCGCGGCAGCCGTCCTCCCGGAATGTTCCTCGGCGGCGCCGGCAGCACCCAACAGCGGTTTGATAGATGCCAGCAACGATGTGCCCGCTCTTCCCCCTTGGTGCTTGATTCTTCACACCCCATCTGGCACCCTGCTTTGGACGAAGCGAAACCGCACAGCGCGTGAAATCAACTGCAGTTTGACTGCACCGGGCACGCTGCATCGTTCCCAGTCACGGCTCGGACCAATGCAGATCTCGCGTGTTCGGCACGCTTTCTCTTGTCATCTTCTGAACGTTTTTTCTGTTTTTTTTTCGTTTTTTCATAAGCGGGATCACATAATGGAAAATGTATTAACCTTCTGTGGCGTGAAAGCGACCGACGAGAAACTGTCAACATGACCGCGAATGGGTGAGGGGGGGGGGGGTTACGGGTAAGATTTCTCTACCCAACCCGTTCACTACCCGTCCTTGATAAGCTACACCCACCCACTATCGGTCCCTGGTCGGCTGCGCCCACCCGCTACCCGTCCCTGATCGGCTGCGCCCACCCGGTACCCGTCCCTGATCGGCTGCACCCACGTATAGCCCGCTCCTAATTAGCTGCAACCACCCGCTACCCGTGACTAACCAAGTGCGCCCGCCCGCTACCTGCCCGTTTGCATTTTCCGGTACTTTGGCTCTATCTTGTGTAAGAGTTGCAGGACAGTCTACACTGTAGCATACCCTGTAGCCTTTGAAATTGCAAAAGTGGTGTGGATGGGGTTAACTAACACTGAAAGAAACACAAGCAGTAGCACTGAGTACCCTTTCTTGAAGCATCCACGCGACATTTCTTAAATGTACCCGAAGCTTTCTCCAAAGTGACAATTGACGGCCTGTACCCATACGCGTACCCGGAGCTTTCCCCAAATCTGTACCCAACCGAACTCGCTACCCATTCCACATGGGTACCCACGAGCTCTTTTACCCAGCCGGTGAGGTGCGCTGGTCGGAGGTGCCTTAGCTGACGTGTGGGCGTGGCCCGCGGCGGCCGTGGCAACAGCGCCGTTATACAGCCGCACCCGCGCAGATGATAATATCTGGGGTGCCCAAGGTCGGGCCGAAGCCGAGACGCATGCGGGGAGCTGACTGTACTCGTCGGTAGCAGCTCGTTGTCGACCAGGATACTCGCCGAAGTATCAGCTGTTACGATTCTAAACTAGTGCCGCGCTTGCGTTTACGCCCCGATGTTGTTCGGCTCGCGCTCCCGCTCCAGGCGGACGCCGGGGACAGGGGCTTCGGAGCGCGGCGTCCCCGTGACGCGTCACGTGATCAAGGGCGCTCACCGCAGACAGCACAATCGTCACATGACTGCACGCCCGTTACACGTCCGTGACGTGTAAACATTATCCGCCCGTTACACGTCGACCGCACGTCGTGGGCCATGCTGGGAGCTCGGCCTGGAAATCGTGCAGACAGCTCTAACCTGCTGCGGCTGCCGAGTCGCGGTGGGAATCTAGATCGTAAGACCGCGTGGTGACCTGGCAGAAGTGTGCTAGCAAGCAGCCAGAGCGCTGTCAGTCTGTCTGCACTGGCGACAGGAAAAGTTGCCAGTTTGGGGAAAAAGCCAGTTTGGGGAATCCTCACCACCGTTGGGGAGGACGGCAGTCCGCTGTGTATTAACATTACGGACGATGTTAACATCATTTCAAGGACCTTAGCTGTAACTAACTAGAAAAAAAGATTATGCAATGGCCTGAAATCGATGCAAATATGGTTTGTAAGTGATATGCTAAAGCGAAATGTTTGGAAAACCAGATTCAATGTGTTCTCAAAATGCCAACAAACTACGCACCTCCTTTCCCGACCATGAACGACATGCTTTACATATACACTCAGACAATATTTCTTTGGTCTGTTGTCGCATGGCATCCGTACCACCTTTATGTATACGTATCTGTATGTTTCTCATCCCTCCTGCGTTTTAAGAAGTGCTCGCTTTGTGGGCCTGCACGTCGATCAGACAGATTGAGCCTCACCAGCACTGGGTGCTGCATTCGACTCTGATCTCACTTTCAGTTCTCATCAAGAAATTGCTCTCAAAGCTTTATCAAGTGGCTGGTCCCACAGGCAAAACAAGACAATATTAGGAAACACATCAGGCCAGGCATGCTCTGCGACAGTCTCATGCATCCACATGTAAATTATAACTGTTTATCATGGGGCATAACTGACATAAACTTTCTATCAAACTAATCTTGATAGCATTTTGGAGGCGAAGAAGTGCCTTGTAAGACTTAATGTTAAGGCATAACCCATTTCAAATTCAAAGACATTGTAACTTTGCAATGTCTTCTAGTCATTTTGCAGAGCTCAGTATGGGCTTGTCTGCGTGACAGTTATATTAAAAGGAATATTCACATGTGAATATATTGATGCAAGTATCAGGTAGAATGAAATAAGCTCACATATAACTATTGGCATTCTCTTAAGTGGAAAAGATTGCTCTAGACAACGCCATTTTTCTATTTAGTAAATGCGCTTCTCAATACGTCATTGTTTGTTTGCGTCATCGTAACTTGCACAACATTGATTGAGGGTTAAGGAACGGCTGTTATATCTGTAAATCGTGCTCACGAACGCCAGATATGAACAACTGGACAACCACATTTTTTCTTGGCCTTGACCGTTGCATAAGCAATGAAATGACAAAATTTGAATGACGTTATTATGAAGTCATGAATGCCTGGGTGACCTTGAAATTGTCTGCACGAAAAAAGTCTGCGCATCTTTACAGACGTGTTGATCAGAAACTAGAATGTTTCAGGTCCTCAGAAGGCCACGGCTGTGAACTGCGCCGAATGGTCTGCAAGATGGCTATTTTACTTAAAAACATTTCCAAATGTGCAACAGATCCCGCAATGTGACATAAGGTCAATCAAAGGCTAGGAAAATATTTGCCAAAATGAAGGCGAAAATTTTCTTAGCTTCCCGCCACCTCCATCCCCGCCATTCCCGTCACCACCGATGCCACCCGCCACCACCACCACCATCCGCACCGGCTCTATCGCATATGCGTGTGTGAATCTGGTCACAGAGGAAGGGGTTTTACGGGCCGAGAACGGTACACTTTGAATGCATGGAAATTATCATCAATCATAGCTCTAGCCGCTTAGGCGGCAAGGAGGGAGACATGCCCCCAATTTACCAAAATAGATTTTGACGCATCCAATTTTGCCCGAATAATAATACATTTTTCAATATTATCCCACACAAGATACCATTTTTGGGTCCGACTGTTTCCCAGGTCCCAGTTTGGCCACCACAATTTTGATTTGTCCCTCCTTTTCCTCGAGACATGTCTGTACCCATGCTCTTCTGATATAAAGCATCGCCATCTCATTTGCTTTACCCTCAATCAACTCTGACAGATGGTGTTATCACTCTGTCCTGCGCCTCCGGGCTACGCGCATGAGCTTCCAGTTTGAAAAAATCAGGATGTAAATTATATAGTCCTGATATAACGATCAACATCGGCTGCATCGCATTCCGTTTATGACGAGACAATTGTGTGAAATAAAAATATATAAAAAGTTTTAACGTTTGTCCCTGTGGTCGCCTCTTAAAACTAATCCAGGTTATCCTCTTTATAAATGCAGATCTCGCCGGGCCAAACCATGCGTCGTTAGGTCTTTACAATAGTCCAAAGGCAGGGGCGAGTCCAGGACACAGGTTTGGGGGCGGGACACCGGCTTTGGGGTAGACAAATTCCAAAAAGGCCTTTATAAAAAAACGCATCGGATGTCGCTTCTTTTGACCATAGTTGGTATTCTAGAGAAGCCTCCTGTCTGTTTACATTTTCTCCAAGCTTCAGGAATGTGCAATTTTCCCCAACTTTGACAATCTTGGGGGGCAAGCACCAGGCGACACTCCTGGATTCGCCCTCGGCCAAATACCTCTCGAGATCTCGTGGGAGACCGGACATCATGCGTAACATCACGTGGAAGACCGGACTGCCCACCTACCCACCCCAGCCTGCCCTGTATAGGGTTAACACTGACGACGAGTGCTTCAAAACCACGGTATTCCGGCGCAAAACAATTGTCGCTCTGCAGGCAAAGTAAGCAAAGGATTTGTTTCAACCTTTACATGAACAGCTGGCGTGGGCTTCAGAACTGCTTGTGAAGTTAAGACCCAAGCCACAAACAAACGGGGCTCAGTCATCTGTAAAACCAGAATATTCACTGTGCGCTGCATGGGCATTGCAGTGAAACTCACAACGGGCATAAGTCACGCGCTCCAGTGCTGACGCTGATGGCATTGATTTAATAGCGTAATAATTTAAAATTTTGCTTGGCAGTTCCCGGCGATACGGCGGTATTTACGTCATGTGCTTGATTATTATCGTGAATAACGTGGTTACATAAATTATTTACGGTTTGAGTTACATGGGATCTGCGACATCCTACACTAGGAACTTGAGACTCAAGATGCATTTCGCAGCACGTCGACATGAGAGATTTTACCGTTGCAGAGCACAACAAAAAAACAGACCACAAAACCAAGCGTCGATTTGCATGCAAAATAAGACGAGAATTCGTATGCACTGTCATATTCAGCTTTAGACACTGCCCATGATACGTTCGACAAAGATCGCAAAAGGCCGCGATGACGTCATTGGTAATAGTTACGTCATTGGTAGACACCAGAGAGCTACCGGACGCCGCCTGCACCGGAAGGAAACCGTCTCGCTGCAAAGGAACGCAGTCGCGTCAGCCGTGCCCACTCTGTAGGGCTGCACGGTTCGGTGACGCCTGCCGCTGTCACAAACACACAAACACACACACACACACACACACACACACCCACACACACACACACACACACACACACACACACACACACACACACACACACACACACACACACACACACACACACACAAACACACACACAAACACACACACACACACACACACACACACACACACACACACACACACACACACACACACACACACACACACACGTCGCCGGGCGGGATTCCTCGCGGGTCCAGTTCCCAGGCGTGACGACAGCGACGCTACTTGCCTCTCCAGACGCACGCGTCAGTGTGACAACGTGGTCTCTTGACAATGTGTCAGCAGAGCGAGAACAATATTGCTGTAAAGACAGGTTGGTGCCTGTGGTTTGACTTGCTATGGCACATAGGCATGTATCATGCCAGGTCGGCAGCTTTATGAACCCCTGATGGGGTTCACAACGATGATGGGGTCCTGGCGCCCGCAAAGCTCTAGTGGGGCGAGGATCAAGCATAGATGCCTGGTTCGTTCTCCAATCGAGCATAGATGCCTGGTTCGTTCTCCAATCGCCTCCGACATTTCGGGCAGTCGCGTCTGCGCCGTACACACCTAGCTAGAAGCACGTGGCTTAATCCTCCCCTAACCCTTAAGATGGGTGTCACTCACCCGTGCTGTGGAGGTGACCTGGTTGGTGCCAAAGCCGAAGCCGCCGCCACCCTGTAGGCTGGTGGCCGCCTGCGCAGTCTGAGCTCCGCCCCCGCCCGTGGCCGTGTTGGTCACAGAGGTCCCCACGCCTGCGGGGCGGCCCGCGGGTCAACGAGATCAGGTCAGGCCACATAGGTCACAAGTCACCTGCTCGTGAGCCAGCGACGGCCAAGACGCCGAAAAGGTCGGCGCTGGGGAGGAGGCGGGAGGCAGTGGTAACGCCGCCGTTCTCCTTTCTTGAAAACACTGCGTGTTTTCTGCAGGTTTGCGTGGAAAAGCAGTGGAGAATGCGGGCGCACCATACCCACTTTTCTCATGGGACCCACAGTCGTGGAATCAGCCGGCTCAGCGTGATGTTAACGGGGCGCTGACATGTAACGTACGGCGTCACGGAACAAAGAGGCGGTGCGTGATGGGTGGGACAGAGGGCAGAGCCGTCCATTGCAGGATCCCATGCATGGAGATGCAGTGCAAGGCAGCGTATAGAATGATGGCCTGGCCAACCACAGCAGGTGTAATCAGCGGAGAGGATCTCACCCAAGCCGAGTGAATCGATGCCAGCCACATGACTGCACCAGATGATACGAAGCCAGGACCCAACAGACGAGGTCGAAGGTCAGCATAAGGGGTGCAACGTTAAGCCCAGAAAGGATTGTGAAGCCCTCCTGGGGTCTGCTAAAAGGCGCTGTCCTTGGAAGTAACTCTTCTACTTTAACGCACACATGTGTCAAAAATAACGGCGCTACACCCGACGCGCGGGTTTGAACACTGTTATACATGCATCGCAGGCTGGATGGTGATACGCTTTCCAAACACATTGCGCGTACAATAAGATATGACAAGCTTTAAATGCCGAACAATGCAGCGCCATTCATCGTAGCAAAATACTACATACAGCGAACAAGAGCACCGGGAAACCAGCAGCAAACGTGAAGCAAATGGGCTCACCTAGGCATTTCGGCTGTACTACAACTGATATATATATATATATATATATATATATATATATATATATATATATATATATATATATATACATATGTGTGTATACAGATACATATTTACTCATAGATATTTCTATATATATATATATATATATATATATATATTTAACCCGATATATCTGTTGCAGGAGGTTGTTAGTATAAGCTGACCGAATTCCACATTGCCCCACTGACCTACGACGGGTCCGTTGACGGTGTTGGCGATCCCGACGTTGGCGCCGATGGTCTGTCGCGTCTGCAGGGGTGTTGTCAGACCGGTCTGGGCCGGCGCTGGCAGCAGCGACCCCGGCGGCAGCACCGCCTTCTGCGGATACCCTGCAGCAAACGGGACGTGGTCTGTGGGCTGTCCCGCTGCAGGCTGGGCATGATCTCTGGTATGTCCCGCTATAGACGGGACGTGATCTCTGGGCTGTCCCGCAGCAGGCGGTCTGGACTGTCCCGCAGCAGGCGGAACGTGATCTCTGGGCTGTGCCGCAGCAGGCGGGACGTGGTCTCTGGGCCGTCCCGCCTGCTGCGGGACGTGGTCTCTAGGCTGTCCCGCAGCAGGCGGAACGTGATATCTGGGCTGTCCCGCAGCCGGCGGAACGTGATCTCTGGGCTGTCCCGCAGCAGGCGGGACGTGATCTCTGGGCTGTCCCGCAGCAGGCAATGGTGTTATTTTACGGGAACTTAAGAGACAATTCCTATCTCTTTCTCAAATTCCTCCCTCTCGTCATGTGACAATGACCATGTCCCAGCTCCATAGCACTTTCAAACATAACACAGGTAATTAGCCCTAAGTCGCATCAAACATAATCACATCTAACGCGTCGTAAGATGTACCGACTCAGTTTCATCACTCCACCCAATAGAGCCATACATAAACCCTCACACCATGTCGTCAGAAAAATCCGTTATATCCCATCCCCCGTGTCACCCGATTATCACATTGTCCTCCTCTGAACATGCAACCACGCTGGTATTCAGATGAGCGAGCTAGCCTTTGCAAGCCCAAGGCATTATCTAGATCCATCCGCTCACGATAATTTATCTTGCCTTGTCGACGCTTTACTTTGATTAACAAATTTCATCAATCATTCCTCTAATGTAAATGGGAACAGCGCGCACCGCACTGCAAGCACGCGGCCAAATGTACTCTCCAACGTGGCAAGTCATCCAAGCAGAGCCCCCGCCTGAGAAGGGTTTCCTCGCCAGGCCACGCGTCGGACACATCGAGGTCATGCACTTATGTCTTGTGGAAAAACCCACCTCCGCTGCTAACACACTTATGCCGCGTCGAACATGCCCCACATCCGCTATTCGGCACTTGTATCTCGCCGAACAGACCCTCATTTCCGCTGTTCACGTTATGTCTTGCCGAATGTGTTATGTTATGTCTTATAAGTCTTGCCGAACACACCCCATCGCACGCTTCACTATCACCATCTGCCGCCCGGCGCGTGAAACACTCAGGACGCAACATCGCATCGCGTGTCTCATACCCGAAGCTCCCGGCACTTCTCTTCGGATCTCTGCACAAAACAAACCCAGATAATTGCATTTTAATTCCGCAAGGTTTTGTCCTGCACAATGGCCGACGCCTGAGCTTTCCTCATCACCAAGAGGTTTTTACCAGGCCCAGTTCGACAAAAACGTGCCGGTTTTTACCAGGGTTTCAGTAGTGCGCTTTTTTAGGTTGGTGCCTCCTGGATAGCATAACACGACACGACAAGGGGACCGTTACGCGCACGACAGTTCCACGCGCTGGGTCGCTTCCCTTCTCACCGCGGGGAAGCGGTGGGGCTCCCGTCGCCGCAAGATCCAACCGCAAAACTGAGGGGGGAGGGGGGGGGGGATCCGCTGCGATGATATTGTTCTGTTATCCAAGTGTACCATTGATTTGAATACAATGCGCATTGATATGTTACATGCTTTATTTGGCGTCTGTTACCGGACGAATTAGATAGGTTCACGTAAATCCGCATGCGTTGGTGCATTGATACTGGACCACATTAACGGCATGGATGCAATTGCAGTTACGTCTGTCACTCGATTTCGCCGGATAGGAAAGGCCCGACCACCGCAACTTTAGCCTGGCCTCCAGCCGCAAGTGAAATACTCCAGCCCCGTGTTAAGCTTTAGACCCATCGGGCAAAACAGCATAGCAATGAAACCATTCGTGCGATCCCGCTGGACTCAGTCCATTGCTTTTTCCGCGAGACGCTGGCAATCCTATTTCGGAAACGACGGGGGAGAATACTTGACACCCCCACCATTCGCGTTATTAGTGGGCGGCGAGTCCAGGCGAGCGCTAAGCAACGTCATGTTCACCAGTTCACCACCAGGCGGGAGCAACTCTGTACTGTCCTTTCGCTCAGCTTCGTGCACGCCCACGACATGAGGCATGGGCAAAGGTCACCGACATGCACCCTCCGAATTAGCTCCACATAGCCCCGAACGGATCTGTTTCATCGGATAACTATGACGTTTGAAGGGCAGCTGCTGTATGCGTGCATGCGTGCGTCCGTATATATATATATATATATATATATATATATATATATATATATATATATGCATGTATGTATGCGTTCTCTCTTCCTCTCTCTCCCTCTCTCTCTTTCTTTCTCTCTCTCTCATTCTCTCTCTCTCTCTCTCTCTCTCTCTCTCTCCTCTCTCATCTCTCTCTCTCTCTCTCTCTCTCTCTCTCTCTCTCTCTCTCTCTCTCTCTCTCTCTCTCTCTCTCTCTCTCTCTCTCTCTCTATCTCTCTCTCTCTCTCTCTCTCCCTCTCTGTCTTTCCGTGTATGCATGTATATCTGCATGAATGCATGCACTATGCACGTATGTGTGCACGTATGCATTTATTTATGCGTGCATTCCGACATTCCATGCCACGTGACTCTCTTGGGAACTGCTCAGCTGTGCAGAAACAGAGGGCTGAAAAAGCACTGAACATCGCCGCCCGCATCCTCATCAACCTAACTAATCAGGATCGTGTGCCGCCCGCATCCTCATCACCCTAACTAATCAGGATCGTGTGCCGCCCGCATCCTCATCACCCTAACTAATCAGGATCGTGTGCCGCCCGCGCCCTCATCACCCTAACTAATCAGGATCGTGTGCTGCCCGCGCTACTCGTGTTGGGCTGGTCTGAAATATAAGATAAGACCACCGAACGGGAGGTGATGCCGCTGCAGAACATTCTGTCTGACACCCGCGCGCCTGAGGCCATGCGGACGCGGTCGGTCGGCCGGACCTCGGTGCTCTCGCGTGCCACTCGGGCCGCAGCTGACGGCATGGCGCAACTCCCGCGAGTGTGCTCCGCGGTCGCACGATGATCAGTTTTGCTCCCGAGCGACTCACATGTTGATTTCGCTGCCATCAAACGTTCGCCTGTCCCCCATCGTCAGCGCCATGGCCGTTTCCAACAGCGCGGTCGCTTACATGCGAACGAGATGAGACTGTTGTGCTGTTTTTACGACCGCGTGCAAGGTCCATATGCTTTCATTTTCGTGCCCAATATGTACGACGTGGTGCCAGAAAGCCATGTGATCAACGATCCTAAACGCAATCTGAAATCTGTATGTCTATCTACCGATGCAAGCATGCAGGAGTATATGCGTGGATATATGCATGCCGGTATGCGTTTTTGCCCGGCATATCTGTATGTATTACGTGCGTAAATATCAACGCATAACGTATACAGATGTATGTATACATGCATATGAACACTGGTATGCATGAATGCACATGTGTAAAAATTTAGGGTTTCGTGTGCAAAGACGTGCATGTGTACATGTATTTTAAAGGGGTTCATGCATCACGCATATTTTCATGCACGTATGCATTGTAAATGTATGCATACACGGATAGGTATGCATATTTAGTTCCATACATGTATATATGTATGTTTATGTGCATACATTATGCGTATATGTATGCATAGTCGTATGTATACACGTATAATGTATTATTTATGTACGCATAGGTGAACGGATGTGTGTATGGATATACGGATGGATGGATGCATGGATGGATGCACGGATGCATGGTTAAATGGGTGCGCGCGTGCACATGTATGCATGCATGCATGCATGTATGTATGTATGTAGGCCTTGATGTTATGCGGCTATAATCCCAGACTATCCCCTGAGACACATATGTGAAAACATCATGCAGCCATCAAACAGTATACTCACCCACACCGTTTGCCATGCAGTACACGTACACGTAACTCTCATGCGCATACGAACAAGAACAGACTTTCAACTGATTTTCGGCAGCGACCTATTGTTGTCGCTGAGCTCGGTGGGCTCTGCGACTGTTTTTGCGCGCCGCTGGTCCTAGTTGGGCCGACTTACCCTGGGTGAGGACGGCGATCATCGCTAGGAGTGTAAAGCTTCGCACGAGCTGCATGCTGCTGCTGCTGTTGATCGGCCGGGGTCTGAAGATGACTGACATCGGTCTCGTGGCGGCAGATCTCAATCCCTGAGTGGAGTCTAGATCTGGCTGAGTCTACGGCCTAAACCGCTGTCAGTCAGCCCTCGCGCCGTCCTGGATCTAGCCAATTTCACCACTCACAGACGAGCTGGATCTGGATCTGTATCGAAACCGAGCCCGGGCTAACCAACGACGGAAATCAGATCCGAGCGGCGCCTCAGGATACGACGGAATCGATCCAGGATCGGGGCGGGGCGCGACTGTGACGGGCCCGGGAGCTGGGGCGAGAGCCTGCCGTCTCGCCGTGCGCCGCGGTGACGGCCGCTGTCCGGCTCTGGCGACCAGGCTGACGGCGCCCCACCCTCGCCTTCTGTGCGTTCTGTCCCGGGTGACGGGCTGTCACACCGCCACGTGACAGGCGGCCGCAGAGCCGGTGACGCGCCGACATATTGGGACGGGAGTGGGAGGGGGGGGGGGGGGCGGAAGGGAGCGGGGGGCGGGGTTGGAAAGGGGGGCGGCAAAGGTGGCGGCACAGTGGCGGCCAGATGGTGAAGCCGATGGTGTTCGATGGCACTGCGCAGCCAATCATCGGGCAGAGGGAGCAGTACTGAGGGCTTGATGTTCAGTCGCACAACAAGACCACATTCTAAATCACCCAACGCAGTCATTTTACACACTCACTATTGTATACCCTGGCTATTTGATATAAGGCATGGTAGATGACGATAAGCGGGTAGGATTTACGGCGTGTAGTGCGGCGACATATCCTAAAATCGTATGACAGACGTAGCAAGTGCATCTCATGTTGACCGGTCTATGGAATGCGGCAGAAATTTAGGATACTAAAATTGACATAAATTTGTGCACATGCGAAATTTTGAAGTTTTTATCTCGACAGAACTGTACCCTTCCCGAGGTAGCATTACGGTCAGAGGTAGCAAATCACGCTAGTATTTCTAAATGAGGGTGCATTCCAAAGAGGCTTGATAGGCTGTGTTTCTTACGTGCATCACTCTGAGGTGCCATTCATATGATATTAATGGCCTCCTCAAGGTCAAGCTATGTCAATCTGCTATCTTTTTGGCAACATTAGTCCGTCTGGATATACTAACACTTAAGCCAAAATGACAAGTATATTACACGTTGGGAAGATTTTCTGACCCTCCTCTCAAAAAGGAAACGAATGGCTTGTTTAGTTCTTGATATAGGCAGGCGGGTTAATGAAGTAATCGCCTTCACCCCTTTACCTCATTACGCGTGTCACAGGCCATTCGTGTCGATGTCAATGTCAATGTTAATGGCCTGATTTGTCCTGTCAAAGGTCACCTTCATCACTGTTCAGACACCCAGCCGGTACAGGCTAACAAGAGCTGTCCAACGCTCTTTTCCGCGTGACTCCAGCTCGCTCAATTGCAAGGTCATGGACAAGGGAGTCTGTTAGGCTCCTCCCTCCGAAGGTGACGGCGAAAAATGTCGCCGTGCGCAAGACGTAACATTATTTCTACAACGTTTCCGTTGTAGAAATAGGCTTAAAATCCGAGGTAATCCGGCGATTTCTCCGATAACTGTGTCACGCTGCTTTGCTCGCCAGCACTCTCCGCGACCCCCCAGCGCGAGGCCGTGCATCTCGCCATCAGCGTGCCGGCGAGCTTGCCGGCAAGGACGCCGCCCAGCTCTGCCAAGCGTCGACACCTCCGGACGAACGCGTCTGATGACGTTGAGTCGTCACAAAGCGGGAAATCCGCCAGAGATGCCTCGCCGTCGGCGCGCGATCTAGGGAGTTCTGTGGTGCAGCATGGGTAATTCTAGTTCTTTCGGGCGCCAAGGAAACCAATGGTGTTTTCATGCTATTGCACATGCGCCTTGGTGTCCATTGGCTGTTGCCTCTCCCTTGCTGAGGATCGACCAATCAGTATCGAGCCGGATGGTGGTCGACCCAGCATCTACGCCCTTGATAAAGAGAAATCGGGTGGGCCGGTCATGACATGACGATGTGAGGTCAAAGGGCATGAACAACAACGGAGCATGGTTGAGGCGGAAACGGCGAAGGCAGGTTTGAGAGCACGAATTATCGGTGACTTCCCTGGCATCCAGCGGAACAAATTTGGTCACGCTGCTCCAGGGCCAGATGCCGTTCTCCAGAGTCACCGGCGGTGACACCCCGCCGCTGTCACCGGCGGTGACACTCCCACCGTTGTCACCATGTCGCGATTGTCCGCGAGCAGCTCTGCCCACACGTCAGGCACCGCGTGACAATCCTGTATTTACCTAAAACGGCCTCACACCACGCCTCATCGCCGAACTCCGGCTGACCTCGCGACCTTGGGCTGACCTTGCTGACTTCGGGTGCCCGGGGCTATCACGGGACCAGGTGTCAGT